ATATCTATACTAACAAAAGGTTTAAGCTGGTAAACACCTTTTGTATGCATAACTGTGTCATAGTAGTTTGGATTGAGAGAGAACTATGTTATTGATCAATCAATGTGGGGGATTCTTGGGTTTTAATCTCATAAGAGATTAAATCCAATGGGTTTGATTGGTCAATTACATGAGAAATTGCACCTACACACTTGATTGAAAAATTAGGTTTTCTCTTACAAAACCCAGTTTTGAACTTGTCCCACATTAAAAAATTATAAGCTTTGTTTTTAGTATTTTAATAGGAGTTGATTTACACTCCTTAGAAATAGTAGAGGAGAGTATGGGGGTTTGATACCGCACAACGCGCGCGCACATGTGTGCGGCGCAATGAGGCACACTTTGCATGCACCCGCGTGGCTCGCGTGGCTCTCTCTCTCTCAGTCCGTCTACTAAAGTCTCACAGAACGTTTATCCGGAGATTCTTCAACTTTACTGGTTGCAGATTCTCGCCCAAGGCTCTATTGTATCTTGGGAACGGATTTGCCTGTAACCAAACAGCAAACTCAGTGAAACTGAGTGGGGACAAATAACATTTTAAAAACAATGTCTTCAGACGCGCCTTAGAGCTTTTCCTCCAAAGTTACAGTGACCCCATTTTCCAACAGAAACTTGTGCCCATAGTAAGGAATCACCTTCATAGCCTCCCCCTCGTTGAATTCGCTCAGACACTCAACACAGTCGACGGGCTCCTTGGCGCTCCCGTCGTAGGCGAACACCGGTAGAGACTTAACGGTACTTGGATTGAGACCACGGGGCCAGCGAGGCTGACCCCGCTCTGCGCTACTGGCATCGGTTGCGTGAGAGATCGAGGGCATTCTCTTCGGCAAAGCGGCAAATGTAGATGAAGAAGAAACCCATGAAGAAAGAGAGCAGTGAGGAACACCACGACGGTTAAGGCCATGGAGGAATCGAAGGTGGAGATGGGTTGCAGGGGCTTTCTGGTAGTAGTAGTAGTAGTAGAGGAGTTATTTGCAGGGGTTAGAGTTGGGACTGAGGAGTAGCCATCTCGAGGGAGAGAGGGTGAGTGGCTGGTTCCTGGAGGCGCATCGTCGTTGAGCAACTTATGAATGTTGGGCTTCATGGATGGATGAGTGGATTGTTGGTGAGATTTGAAAGCGCGGTTTGTAGAGATAGAGGGAATGAGAAGAATTGAGGGAACGAGAGACAACGTGAACAAAGGATCTTTAGATCTTGGCTTGGAGAGAGAGAGAGAGAGAGAGAGAGAGAGTTACGACTGTTGTGGATGGAGATTTGATAAAAGAGAGAGGAGACAGACGGACAATTTGACGATGAAGATTTGATTTGGAGTGAATCTGGATGGGATTTAGGGGAGAATGGCCTACAAAACGGAGAGAGAGACAGAGACATGATTGAGGGGCATATTGTAATTTGCAGTGGGCTCGGTGGAACTGGTGAGGCGTTGTTGTAGAACTGGAACTGGAACTGTGGCTGGTTCAGCGCTTCACTTCCCTACTATGGAACTGGAACTGGAACTTGGCTTATGCATTCACAACTGGAGAGGCATTGCCAGTGAACCGCACGGGTGGGCTTTGGCTTCGTGGTCCCAGCGTTATGAAAGGTAAGAAGCAAAAAGGATGAGATCTTACACCCATCCACATCCGCTGTGGGTGGCTTCTGCGTTCAGTGAGATCGCCGGTCACGGGTGGATGCTTCTGGGCTAGGGGTTAGCGGAAGAAAGTATGGGAGGATGTGTTTTAACTTTTTCGTCTTTTTGTATCCGGATCAACCGGATTTTTTAACTAACAACTAAACGTCTGTTAACATTGATAAATTTTAAACACGCCGATGTGGGCGTTTGTGATTGGCGGGTGCAATCGTCCAGTGCACCCATGGGTAGAGGTGGCAACGTTGCCCGCCGCCGCCTTACCCTCCGGCAACGTTGTGGGAAGTGGCCGGAGGTAGAGGTGGCACCGGCAGCGCTGGTGGTTTATCTGTCCAACGTCGCCACCTGAGGCGGAGGTAGAGGTGGACGGAGGTGGTGGCGTTGGATAGAGAAACCACCAGTGCCGCCATCGCCACCTCTGCCTCCGCCATCACCACCAGGCGGAGGCAGCGGAGGAAGGTGGTGGCGGGCGGCGGCTCTGATGAACAAGGGGCAAGAAGAAGAAGTTGAACAGTATTTTTGTCCTTTATTGATATTAAACCATAAAAGTTGCCCTTATATGATAGAAACTAAATCTTGATCTTTGCATGTATACCCTTCTTTGATTCTTTCTCTTCATCTGTATCATCTCTAACTCTCTTAACAGTATACATAGTCGACCAGCAATTTTTGTAGATGAAGACGATATTGCAACATACACCATAAAGATCGACTACAGACGACCATCGTACACTAAACAAGACTATTTACATCAGGCTACCAGAAAAAATACTCTCTCAGGGAGAAACTGATCAGTAGGAAGAAACTAAACAAGTCGAAGTGTTGAACATTTCTGAGGAAAACTTTGAAGGAGAAAGAACTTCATATATATATATAGAGAGAGAGAGAGAGAGAACAGCAACCTTGAATCTTATTCCGTTTTGGTTCTGTGTCCGTGCTCAATAATTTTCTTTTGGTGTGTTCCAACTTCGAGCATTTTATCTGATGTCCAAAAAAATAAACTACAGAAAGGATTTTCTTGAAGCAAATAAAACAAATTAAAACGTCGCCTGAGAGATTCGAACTCTCACGGAGAAACCCCATGTACTTAGCAGGCACACGCCTTAACCACTCGGCCAAAGCGACTGTTACACGCATGAATTCAGTTATATATATTGTAAGGGGGAGGGGGGAAGGACATCAGTTCATTTTTTGTTTGGGGCTAAAGACCCACTTTATTAGCTTTTTACCTTGCCTCCACTTACTAAGCTATATATATGATAGTTTTTAACAAAAAATTTAAGGGGGAGGGTAAGAACCTCCACCAATATATTTGGCTCGGCCCTGAGTACAAGGAATAAACAGGAGAAAAACTGTTAAAATTATATATTTATTTATTTATTAAATGGCTATAAATAAAGACATACACACAGGAATAAACTAAGAAAATTTCAAATAAAAGGAAAATCTATAATGCCGAAAATACATGCATGATACCGAAAAAGGCTTTGACCAATTTTGATGAAAATTCATGTGATTGGTTAATATTTTTTTGATATTTTTATGATGCAGGTTGATAAGTTGTGGGTTTTTCCAGTATCATGTTTTTTATTTTGGCATCATAATCGAACCTAGAAAAATGATAAATTAAAATATCATTTAAATCAAGGAAAAGAAAGCTATTGATTTCATCATTCGACTAATTATTTAATTTTTTGATATTAACAAGTTGATAAAATGACTTGGGTTTTAGACACAGTATGGCCGCTACATATGGTTTTTAGGTTATATTCTGATGTAGTCACACAGTACCATCATATTCTTCATGAGATCCCTCCTTTTTCGTTTTTCACCAAGTATTCAGATTCCAGAGTCCTTGGGCTTTACACAAATAGAACGCTTTTATATGAGAAGCTTCTAAGTGATTACATGTAATAAGCTAGACCATTCAATGGTGGGTTGTCATTATCTGACCATGGGACAGACAACACATGATAAGTCACTATAGCTCCATATATGTCATGTTCCAATTCCTATTCCTATAGTATAGCCCCACGAAACCCAGCACATAACTTTTTTCTTTTAAAAATTCCCAAGCTTTAGCATCCTTTACGGTACCTCTCCTCTATTAGGGAATCGATGCCTAAACCGTGCACTATTCCATTGTACTTCTGTCTACCTACATAAATCCGTACGTAATCTGTCATTGTTAAAGACCGTGGAAAACTTTGCAGTCGCGTAGAATGAAAAAACCTAACAAAAAAAACACAGATGAAAAACCCTAGTCGAGGGAATAGGCAAAGGAATAAGTTGAAAATGGGCTTAATTTTAGATAGTTTGATTTAGGGCGTTAATAGACCAGGTTTGGGTTGGACCCATCCCAATGAAAAACCAAATTCAACAGGTTAGGACAATTCAATAAGACATGTATATTGGGTTCAACCAGTCTAGACTTATTGTTATTGGATTGATTTGGAGCTGATCCATTTGTAATGGATTTATATTAGACTGGGTATGTTGAATTAATATTCGGTCTAGGTCTTAAAAGATATAAGAGTGAACTAATTAATAAAAGATAAGAGTAAGAGTGAAATAATTTTGGGTTGGATATACACAATCTGAACTAAAACTAATTTGAATAAATTAGACAGTCTTTAATTAGAATAAAACATTAAATTGGATTAGACCTATTCCAATCCAAAATATTTATTGAAAATATTTATCAGATTTCCATCTGTACTGAACTCATATTGGATCAAATTAGGTTAGATCTTTTATGCTTGCCCAAGGAATACAAATATAAATATGCAAAGTGAAAAACGTTATATTTTGTATATATTTGTATTTATATTCTCTCTTATATTTTGTATTTTATATTATTTTATATATATACATATATATATTTGCTTTTAACATATTTGTATTCATATTCTTTTCAAACAGAGCCTAAGCAGTTTCTTGAGGCATCAAAACTTAGCGACAATTATCCATCACTTGACCTAAAACTATACTTTATCCCTTTAATATTGAACTTATAACATAGACAAGCACAAACCCATCAAATATTTAATTAATTATAATGAAGGCGAACATCAAAATTGGAGTATTAAACACTGGACCCTTCATGCAAAACTTTATCAACTTATAATTAATTAACTTAAAATGAAGACGATCGATAAGGCTTGATGAAGTAGGGTTTGATACCATCTTCAACTTTTGAAGCTAAATCCCTTGAATAGATTTTTATTCTCTCTCTCATGCATAGAACTCTGCATAGAGAAGCTATACATGTCTCACAATTAGAGAATTATATATCCAAGTAGAGCTATCCATATATACAACATGCACCACAAAGTAGCAAAAAGTAGTAGGAGTATTGAAATTAAGTACCTCCAAGTTAAAACAAACCATATCTGTATATAAAGATGCCAACATATTAAAACTACATGTCATACTCGTATAAACCTTGAGGAGACTACCGTATTTATACTGCTTATTTATTGTATTATAATACATTGGATGTATATATCTGATATATAGATATAGATATATGACCACCCTACTATATACGACTCTTTCCTACTATTATATTACTACGCAAAAGCTGTCACGGTCTGGTATTCTCTCCTCAGCCACGGCCCACGGGTAGCTTAATTAGCCTTTTCCAGTTCAGAATTGTTGAGGTTTCTCCACGTCCTCTAGGTAACGGAACCAGAACTTCTGATCCAACACCGAATTGCCACCATTCGCCGGTGGGGCCTGGAAGCCACCCCCTTCCCCACCGGCCCTATCCTTGTTCTCAGTCGCGGGTACAAACACCCCAGTATGTGGGTGTGGAGCCCAGTACTTGTCCGACTGCGCCTGGATCACATCGTCGGGGACTACCGATGGACTAACCTGATCGTCGATGTTCTTCTCGTATTCGTATCCAGAAATGTGCGCACCCCTCCTGCATACATCCACACCATAGATAGATATCATTGCATAAACATCCATACGTGACACGTCGTTGTCGTTAGACTGAAGGAATTCTGACAGGACAGCTCTAAGAAGGGCGCTAACTACCGTACAGAGTACAGTACAAACTTAACGGAAAGAAAAGCAGACGTTACAAAAAGAGATTTGAAACGGAAGCTTGCGGAAATGGTCCCTCGAACTCCTGTTATCAATACCGTCAGGCCCTACGGACAGAATAAAATACTCGGAGAAGACAAAAAACTGAAAAAGAGATAAAAAGACACCGGGAGTGGCTGAGGAACTGAAGGTGAGATTGAAGCGGTTAGGCGGTGAGCTTCTCAGCTGTCCTCACGCCCACCGATTTCGACACGTGACCAAAATATTCGTATCGATCTTATTCCCTGTCTTACATCTGGAAATGGAACTGAGATGGTGATGAGGACGATTTGGAGCCCGCGAGGAACGGGCTTACGAAATATCATCGATCGACAATGTTGGAAAAAAGAATTAAAACCTAAAAGTACGAACTAGAAATAAGAACAAGCTCTCGCAGACGTACTGATTCCAGGAAAGCTACCTTCGGACAATCGCTTTATAAGCAGAGATTGATCAAAGTGAAACGATAACTAGAAAGTAGAAGTGTAAACGATGGCATGCATGTGGCTATGTGAGAAGTAGGATAAAAGAGTTTACCTGAATGCAGAAGCTAGGGGCGAGGAATATTGCGGCGAGTCTCGGTAGCTGCCGGTCCAGATCTGGTTGATGAATCGCCTCCCGAAGCTGACGACTCCTCGAGATTGTGAAGTAGCGGCCATGCAATTAGTGGTGATTATTGTTGGGAAGGCTCTGATCGATGAAATTTTCGCAAGTAGCAGAGAGAAAGCAAGAGAAGCAGCAGAAGAGCTCACGACAAAGCTAAGAACTGGTTTTCTCGTTCTGTTTGTCCCTAAATCCCTCCCTATTTATATCCGACTCCCTCTACTCGTCTGTCCTTCTCGGTCACCCGCCCAACAACCTCTCTTTCTCACTTCTCAGCCAACACCCACTCCGTAAGTCTCTATCAGAAATCGTACTTTTTCCCTCCATGCACTCTATATTTTAACGGTGGCTATCAATTAACGGAATCTGCTTCTCTGAGAGTACTTTTTTTATTTCTTAAACGGAATCTACGAGTGGGCAGACGCGTTTCTTACACGATGAATGGAAAAAAAAAAAAAAGGAAAAAGCGTCGATTCGTTCCGTTTGTCGTACTATTGTAACTTTTAACGGTGCCAGTTAACCAGTGTCTAACTAAAAGATCATGATTAGCGAGATTACAAAAAGACCCTTCATGTCGGTTTGAAATGTAAATGAAATGCCGCCTGTCTAATGCCCCCCAGTAGGCTACATTAGATCAAAGATACAAGGTGGAGCTTGCGTGTAGGACGAGGATAAAGATAAACTATTACTACATAGAGGCCCTTATCGTACGAATGCTATGATCAATTGCCCCAACACGTGTCTCATGCAATGTTGGACGTCAAGTGTGGGCCTTTTCAATTAGCCACGTGTCCCGAGCCTACGATGTCAGAACCGACCAGGGAATGGACTCCACCGAGTATATTGAAAAAATGAAAATCAGCATTAAGCCATTAACATTTAACGAGCTTATTTCAATGAAGAAAGCTAGATGGGGAGGGTTACGGTTATCCCGTGTTGTGTTACCTTTTCTTTCCTCTTTATTTATCAGGAAACAAATAATGTGGAATAAATCAGCTGTGGACCAATCATTTTATTCCACGTAAGTAATAAATGATGTGGAATAAATGATTGATCCCACATCTCCTTAAAATGGTTATCAAGTTCATAACAATCAGATAGTTTAGAATCATTTAAATTTTCAATATGCCGATCTTTGATGTGATTATGATATTCTTCTTTTTTCTTTGGGACCCAACTAGTGGGCTCCGATGCTGGACATGCAAGTTATGGGTATATTTGGGCCGCGTGTCCCTTGGCCCGCGACACTTTCAAATCAAACGCTGGTAAAGAATTTGCCTATTAGGGCTTTGACCGTTTGTTTTCTAGAATTTGTTTGAATACCTTTTCATGGTAACATTTCCACCTTTCTGAAAGTAGTATCTTGCGTCAGGAATTTCTGAATGGCATCGATCGCTCTACAAAATAAATAAAATAAAATTCCATGAGACTGTTGAATTTTTCGGACTTTCACAAGTCCATTTGAAATGTTGTTATTGGATGCATCATCATCACTAAGTATTGAAAAGTAACATTATAATGTTTAATGGGTGCAATTATTTTATATTTGTGCCTTAATTAAATTAGTGATACGAAAGCTTAGAGTTTGAAAGTAGATCTTTGAAGTTTATTATACATTAAAATATTAATACTGGGCATATGGTACCTGTGGGTATATATATGAGTAGGGATGTTTCCAATGTATCGCTATAATGGCGGATGATTGGAACGTTGTTGGCACGTGTTGGTAGCTGAACTGAACTTTGGTATATATAACAGTTGGAAAATGATAAGTCTTCTGTTAATAGTCATGACTATTAATTAGGGGTGGGCACGACCGACTTGAGTTTTTTACGAATTATTTGAGTTTGGTTGGTGAAAAGTTCGATTTAATTTGGTTTAAATTGGGTTTTGAGTCAAGTTTAAGTTTAATTATAAGCTCGTTTGCTAATCAAGTCGATTCTAACTTAATAAAGCTTGGTTTGTAAAGCTTAAAAGCCTAATTGAATTTCTACATAAATGTATATATGCAATTCTTAATTTTAAATATCAAATAATTTTTTTTTTTTATAAAACATTTATCTCATAATCGAGCTTGAGCCGAGCTGAACTCGAGCTTACGAGTTTTTGGCTTGAGCCGAACTCAAGCTCAGGTCTTTAGCTCAAACCGATATTGAGCTCTAGCTCAAGCCTCATACTTTCTTGGTAGCCGAGCTCGAATAGCTAGCTATTTGGCTTGAGCTAGAGCTAAACATTATAGTGGCTGTTTTGACCACCATCATAGCTCTGTGACCGCATAGGTATAAAAATACTTTTGATTTTTTGACAATTTTTTATATATTGTCATCCTAATTACTTATAAAAAAATTATAAATGATTTTTTATATGTTTTAAATGATTCTCACTATAGGGAAGATCGATATATAAATGGATCTACTAATTATCTTTTAAATTCATTGATGTAATGATAATTTATGTCAAAAATGATTTTTTTTTTAATTTTTAGAAAGATTTAAAAATTAAATAGAATTTACCTTATATATTCTAAATGATTTTCATGGCAAGGAAAAACTATAAGATGAATCTATTAATGATCTATCAAATTCATTGATCCAACAACAATTTAATGTGTCTTGTAGTGAACTTTTAGTAAATTGGAATCTTAAACACTATTTGATGTATTATTAGTAAAATTAGTGTATGATACATGTATATTTCTAGACTCCTTGTATGATTGTAATGTATCTATGAAAGTTTGTAATTTTTATGTGTTTATACCTTATTCATAATTATTTAAACTTAAATTTATTATTATTGTTGTATTTATGAGATTTGTAAGAGCTTCTCCATTGTGCCCAATCATTTCTTTCCACCACATCCATACATATCCAAAGCATATCATGATATTTATCCATGTCCAAGCTTACCAATAAGATAGATACCAATTAATACTTTGAATCATGATTACGATGAATAGATAATATTAGAAATTTGCACAATATTTTCTATCAAAGTTTTTGTGTATTTCTATAACTTTTATTACTATTTAATTTTAATTTTTTAGTTAATTATGATATTATGGGTTAGCCTATTTGACCTACACAATTGAATTGCTAACTCACTACATGGATGGGAAAGTGGTTTCATTTTTAGGTCAACTTTTAAATTTTATATTCTATTTTCTTTGTTAATAAAATACTTCTTATTTATCATACTTATATTTGTTTAATATGATAGATATATAATATTACATATGCCCAATTTTTTCTATAAATTTTTATAATTTTTGTATTTTATTATTTCTATATAAATTAAAAAATATTAAATTTTTGTAATTTTGTATTTTTTATATTTATCACACTTATTTTAATTTAATATGATGAATAGCTAATATTAATGGTGTGCCCATGTTTTTCTACAAAGTTTTGTATTTTTGTAATTTTTTATATATTTTTATTTAATATTGTGTATTGTTATTATCTATTTTTTAAATTTTATTATTTAATTGTGACATCACATGCTGACATAGACACTTGAATTATTGTCATGCTACCAAAAGAAAAAAAAAATTGTTGTTGAGGCAATCTTAAAATTTGCATTCTACTTTCACAATTAATAAAATAATTCTTATTTATCACACTTATTTTGTGTGATTTGATGGATATATAATATTAGAGATGTGCCCAATTTTTTCCTACAAAATTTCTGTATTTTCTTATAATGTTTTCTATTTTATTTATTTTTAAATTTTATTTCTTATAATATTTTTGAATTTTTGAATATATAATATTAGAAATGTGCCCAATTTTTGAATTTTATTTCTATTTATTTTTGAATTTTATTTATTATATTTTTTAATATATAATATTAGAGATGTGTCCAATTTTTTTCCACAAAATTTCTATATTTTCTTATAATGTTTTCTTATAAAATCATGAGTTGATCAATTCAACATATAAAGATGGTGGAACCTCTAACCCACCACCTAGATGGAAATACAATTTCATTTCTAGGTACTTTCATAAACATAACTTTTATACCATTAAATTATGATTTAATTAGTGAAAATTTTTCATTGGAAATTAATGGAATTCAATAGTAATAAACAAAAATACTTTAAATATAGAATTCAATGCTAGTTAATAAATGGAATAAGATGCACACGTAGGCCCCTACACTAGTATAAATGCATCTAATAAGTGATGATAATGTGACATCCCCATATAATTTATGATGCAATATCATCATACCAAATGATGATGCACGTGACAATTTTATTTGGTCAATTTGCTCTACAAAATATCATTCTATTAATATAGTTGCATTACTACTACTACTAGGGCTATTCACAAAATATTACAAACTAATTAAGCTGACCAAATTGGACCGATTCTACCCGATATAGTTGGATTTAAAAGTGGTATATTGGTTTCAGTTTAGAAAATATTCAAACCCAACAAAACAATTCGATTGTGGGTTATGTCTCCATAAATCGAACTGAAACTGATCCAACATATATATAATTAACTGGCAACTAAGAAAGTAGGGTTGTTTTCGTTTAACCTTTTAATTCTTTTGTTATTTAGACTAATGTCACCCACTAGCCTAGAGTTTCAAGTCATCTAAAACATTTGGCCCACAAAAATCCAGAAAAAAACCTAACAAAAGTGGCCAACCATGCAACATATGCACTAAAACAATGGTTCAGTATTAGTATTATAATTTTCGTTATAAAAATAAGTAAAAGACTTAAACCTCCCTTCAAATTTAACACAAATAATAATACCTCTCTTCTATTTTCAAAAATGACTAAGACCTCCCTTCGTGGGTGATGTCATCAGACAAATTCCTCCCCTACCTTATCAATCCAATAGGCTCCATTTGGAAAGAGTACAAATACAAATATGTAAAGCGCAAAACCATGTATTTTATATTATTTTATATATATTTGTACTGTATATATTTGTATTTGTACTCCTTTCAAACTGAGCCTTAAGAACCGTTTGACCATGATAAATGTGCAGATAAAATTTTAATAAAAATCCAACTTTGCCCTTTATCCAAACCAAACCCCAGTTATAATCTCATTGTCTCTTAGCACCTAATATCTCTTTTCTCATTCTCCTTCTTTTCCCTTTAGTTTATTGAATTTTTTTTTTCTCATCTCTCATCATCCTTGTATGCCTACATGGCTACATGCATATTACGAGAAAGGGAGAATACACAATGGGAACTGCCATTTCTGATACAAAGCTACAGGAATTACAAGCAGAGCTGGTCTTGTCATTTGATGAAAATTTTCTTTGGTTCTTTACGTTTTACCTAATTATACATTGTGATATTTGCTTTGCCTTTTTATTTTCACTATTATCAAATATAAATCTATTCTTGGTTTATGGGAAGATTCGATAAGTATAACTTGAGAAGAGAACAATCCCAAGTAGTATGAATTCTCCCCAAGTAGTTTGCAAGGATTTTCTTCTTTCTTGATTTAAAAATTTGATAGGCTTTCATTGGACGACTGAAAGTTTTAAAAATAATAACGGGTAAAAATGTCTTTTTATTGATTCTGTTAAACCTAACGGCATTCTATTCCACGATAGGTGGTTTAAGTCATAGTAGATATCTTAGGGGAGGTATAAGTATTTATCAACAATCCAAGGGAGGTTTAAGCCTTATACCCTAAAAAATATTGGAATCAATTGAAAAGATGATTTTTTTTTTTTTTTTTTGCACTTGTGTCTTGTCATGTCATAGTGACACCCTCCTTTTTCAAGGAACCGTCAATGATTCAATCTTTTTGATCACAACTTCTTTAACTAGTTAGACATGGCTACTGTTTAGTACTTTCAACCCACCTCGAAGAACTATAACTATGAACTTTCATCAGTCATTTCTCTCGACTTATCTTTTGTTTGATTAATCAATTAAACCAATTGAAGCACACAAAAACAAAAAAGAAAAAAGAAAAAATCTACATCAATTTTTTGTCCTTGTTTATTAGTTTCAGTTGGCCCAATGGTCAACTCCATGGTATCTCCTCAAATTATCACAACTCTCAAGTATAACCAAATTGAATCGAATTGTAAACAACTCTCTCACTATTACTGATGAAATAATAATAATAATAATAATAATAACAATAACAAAGAAGATTAAATCTTGTCTTCATATAAGTTGTCAGTATAGGGTTTTAGGGATCGCTACCCCTTGTATAGACAACCATCAAAGAAAATAATAATATTAATAATTACTACAAGAAAAATGGTCGAAGGCTTAGGCCTTTAGACCGCCACCCTTGATCTAAGGCGACGGTCAGGCATATCAGGACCGCCGACTCAGATGAAAAAGGCCGCCGCCTTTGATGGTCGGCCTGAGACGGTTCAAAATGCGCTAAAGCGGCGATCAATCAGAACCACTGGCTTAGTATCAATAAAGCCGACAATTTAGACTACCGTCTCAGGTTTTGTCAAACATAAATTGCATCTTTTGGTGGCGGTCTAAACCGCCGCCTTAGGTTTTGTCAAATGCCGCTTGGGTTTTTAATTGGCGGTCTAAACCACAGGCTTAGATCTCATATGACTGCGGCCTTAGGTCTTATTTATGTTTAAACCAGGGGTTGGATGACCGTCGGCTTTGATATTTCTTTATTTTATTATTTTTATACTAAGTTAATTGCATCATTTTTTTGTACCTACACTTTAATTCCAACATTCATCACTTTAATACATGTTTAATACAAATCTCATGACAATTGATATATTATAAACAACTTAAATAAAAAATGCAATTTAAAGCAAAATCTATTAATTTACAAAATTAATTGCTATAATATCCATAACAATTTGTTCAAATACAATATCCAATTGATATATAAAAAAATACAAGGACTTCGAAAACATTCAATTTGTCAAATAATGCAGCACATCTTCCAATGTAGATCCACTTAAACCTGCAAATCATAACATATAAATTGTTAGAAAATGTAAAGTAAATGAGATATTGATAAAAATATGTATAAAAATAAATATTTACTATGCAAAATATAATGCAATCCTTGATGGCCTCTTGAATTAAAAGAACAACTATAATATTAACATGCCAAAACGCCCCATGCAATCCTTCCAAATTTAGTGATGGTAATGCAAGCATTGAATATGGCAAGAGAAAACAACTAGAATGTTGTCCAGATGTAAACCCTACAAAGAGAAATTATCTTAGTAAGATCAATATGGTATATAAAATTCTAAGAACTCAAGTATTGAATTATGAAGTTGTTTCCTATTACCATCCAATCCTAGCTAAGTATAAGTCATTTTCCAAATCTACCCTTCTAGTAATAAGATCTGTTAGAATTTAGAGAATAAGCATGGAATGCTGGTTCCTCTGCTCAAAAGAAGGGATAGGTGGCACATTATGGGGGCTCAAACTGATAGGTCCCAATCAAAGCTAGAAGGATAAAAAGGGTATTCTTCTTAAGGTGAGAATAAGACCACAAAAGGTTATTGATTTTTGACTGCCTTCACCATGTGGTGAGGTGGTCTTTAAATACAGAAACTTCCTAACTTCCTACCACTGAGATAGCCTCAAAGTAAGGGATTAGCTCTCTAACT